CGTCGTCCGAATTTTAAGACTTTACAAAATGTAAATGATACGTAATAACTGGATATTCCTGTTATTGTAATAAATTACAAATCAATAAAATAGGTTCTATTATAATAAAATATAATATATAATGAATTATTTGTTACAGTAACCCTTTATAAATAAATGTTTAGCTATAGTAAAGAGGTTCATTATCAGCGCAGTTTTTCAATTTTATTACTAATTCCATTTTTAAAGACTACTGTTTTATTTAATGCTTCTCATAACGAAACCAAGGCTTTTAAAGGTCACTAGTAAGAGCTTAGGAATTTACCACAAGGCGTTAAAATTAGCTAATTCTAAATGTTTATAAAATTTTATGCTTGAAATGGAGATGTTTTATAAAGTATATTATTATCAACAGAATATACTATTATTAAAGGTGAAGGCCAAGTATTGTTTGTGTAGGTTATCTTAAAAATAACTTTAAAATTATCGTTTTTGTAACTTTAAAAATTATGGTTTCATTTTTATATTTAATATGTTTTTGAACGATAATATTTCGAAACTTAACATCAATAATTTTCATATTTTTTCCCTTAGTTTCAAAGTAGCTGAAGAAAATAAATAAATATGTTTTAAATTCCATGCAAACAACGGAAAACAAAGTGTGATTAAATATATAAATAGTCTTTTAGAGCGGAACAGGAATGTAATGAGATTTTCTTGAATCTGTTAGAAGAGGTGCAAAGTTGTTAAAATGTACTTTAAATAGATCTTATGCTAGTTCATATATTATTCTCGTATATAAAAATAAACTACTTAATTTATTTCTAAGCTTGTTTTAAATATTCAAAAAAAATAAGTTACGGTATTATTATTAAAAAATATATATATTAAGTTGTAATTCGTACCGTTAAAATGAAGAAAATATACAAAAGATTTTATGCAATAATATTCATGGCATTAGTATTTTATTTATATGACAATTATATGGAAAGTAGATTCACCTTTGTTCTGATGTCAAGGCCTTACCCACCCATAATTATTTAACACACGCGATGCCATTATGATATTGTATGCTATACTTACGATGTTACTTAATATCTTTGTATAACGATATATTAATATAAAAATGTCATAAATTTGTTTGCTGTGTAAAATAAATACATTTTGTATATATTGTTTTTGTGTTCTTAATAATACAGGGAAAAAATATATATTTAAAATGCAAATTATAATAATAATTATTATCGAAACATCATTTCATAATGTTATATTTGTGATATTTATTACAATCTATCATCTAAATTTAATGAGTCACACATTATCCTCGTGCCGGCGATTATATAAGGAAAAAATATCTGAGCCGGATTTATCGCTAATGTTTAAATAGTGATTCATGTTTTTTATTGATATCATCTATACAGATAAGTAGAAATAAAGTGTTTGTTTGTAATCTTAAAACGATCCTTTTCATATATCAAAAACGATCCGTTTTTATTTATTAATTAGATGCCTTTTGTTTCAGATACTTGCTTTGTCCTATCGAGTTGAACATTACGATTGAACTATGTCTTAAAACTGGACTTAATTTTGGATTGGATCTTGAGGAAGACGTTCATGATAAACTTGCAAGTGTTCGTTACTATTACCTATTTGGGCCAAATTCTCATTTTATTTATATGGAGTCAAATCTTCCATTATTATTTAAAAAAAAATTAAATTTTTCACCATAAAAATAGGAAACCATTTAGTAAAACCCACCATAAAAGCATCTATAGACTCAGTTTTTCCTTCACCATTCACTTTATAAAATAAGTTTTAATGTTTTACAAGGGAAGCTGAGAATGCAACAGAAATTATGCCAATTAGTTTTTAATTATAATGAAGTTCATACCGTACCTCTTACAATAGACTCAGAAATCGTTTGAATCTTTTAGTAAATAATTAACAAAATAAACTCTCATACTTAAATTGAAACGTAACGAGCACATGGCATTGTCTTTTGAAATATTTCGCAGAAATGTAATTTAATGTTTGAAGGTAAAGCATAATTGAAACGTGAGTTAGTGACAATTATTACAAAGTCTAAAAAAGCCGAAGGAGCATTTGCGGCCTTAAGATTATAAATTTTAATTTTCATTTGTATCTCGTTCTTTGTTTTTGTTTTCTTTGAACGAAGTATAACAGCTATATTGATGATATAACAAAACAATTACAAGAAATACGTCAATTGTATGTATAAACACATGAGTGTATGAACAAACTAACAAAGCACATACGATAAAAAGTCTTCTCTTAATTCTTGACTTCAATAAATTTATGATGAAGTGTATATTTTTTATGTCTGTTTATCTATGTTAGACCAAAAAAATGTGGTTTACAAAGGAGCACTTCAATGAAACGGATAATTTGCGGACACGTATAACGCTTCGATTCGGTATCTACTTTGGATTCACTTTCATTTACTTAGAAAAGTTCAACTAAATAACACTTCATTTTTGTAATCGAAATGAATTCATTACTGTTGTGAAATGAAATAAAAAAAATTCTTTTCAAATATAAAACAAAAAAAAAATTCTTCATCTTTTAATTACCAAACGAAACGTTACATTTTAACAAAGCCAACGGACAGCCTGGTGGCGCAACGGAGTTCGCCGGGTTTACTAGTTATTATGTAAAGATACACAAACATTAGAGTTTATATTTGACGGCGCATCCGTCAATATCACACGTCAGGATGACTTTTAGCTGTCTGAAGTCAGTCTAGTGTAGCGTCATTATCGATAGCGGCGTGGGCGGCCATCTAGATACAGTGTTGTTCGAGACGGCGCCCGCGCGCCCCGCTTGAGATGAATCGCTATGCATCGGAGTAATAATTAAATCTAGTGTTTAAATTAAGTTGGTGTCGCATTGATTACTCTGTACATTATCCATTTCACCGTGTATTTCGATTATTTAACCCTGTACTTATTAAATAACTGTAATCGTAACAAGTACTTGTGATTTTTCTGTTCACGCTTAACCGCCGACATAACCGCTTTTTTACCCGCACAAGATGAGTTCTGATGAGAACTCTCCAGCTCTTACATATTAATATCGTTGCCACGTTGAAGCATGTAAATACAATCTTTATAGGTTACAACGGCAGTTGATGACGCAGTCGTTTACTGTGCGTAATGCGTATATAATTTTTTAGCTAATTATTATAAAAATTGTCAAAGTTATTTTTTTTGTGTAATTGATAGAGCAAATAGAAAACAATTTTTTCTACAAGAAAATATATATAAAAAAATTATATTTTTCACTGTATAGTCACAAAGTTTTCAGTTATCGTATTTCTTAAAAAAAATTATAAATCGACTAAGTACATGTTTTAGAAGTGGAGCAATTACTAATTCTGATAGAGCCTTTAAGGAGCAATTTTTTAAGACAAGTTACAAAAAAAATTTTGGTTATATTATTCCTGGCTTATTGCATACAGTTAATAATAATATTATCATGTGATAGAAGATAAGAGTAAAGTGCGATAAAATATGGTATATAAATGTTCAAAGTAGATTTATTTATTTATAATTTGTGAACAGCACAGCAACAAAATGAATACAATCAGAAGATCTGTGGTAAACATTGTCTTCGTAAACCAGCGATGTTTAAGGTATTCAAATCATTAGTCAATACTTATATAACTTACATAATATTATTTATTCGATAAATATTGTAACCTTACTATAACTCTTGTTGTAAATACTGTATTATTAATGTTTTTATCTGATTTTTCAGTGAGCTATACCATAGTATTAGATATACGAACATTGCAAAAGTAATAATTATTTTTTTGTTATATTTTATTCAATCATTATTTAATTGTTATAAGCAGAGATGAATCGCTATGCATCGGAGTAATAATTAAATCTAGTGTTTAAATTAAGTTGGTGTCGCATTGATTACTCTGTACATTATCCATTTCACCGTGTATTTCGATTATTTAACCCTGTACTTATTAAATAACTGTAATCGTAACAAGTACTTGTGATTTTTCTGTTCACGCTTAACCGCCGACATAACCGCTTTTTTACCCGCACAAGATGAGTTCTGATGAGAACTCTCCAGCTCTTACATATTAATATCGTTGCCACGTTGAAGCATGTAAATACAATCTTTATAGGTTACAACGGCAGTTGATGACGCAGTCGTTTACTGTGCGTAATGCGTATATAATTTTTTAGCTAATTATTATAAAAATTGTCAAAGTTATTTTTTTTGTGTAATTGATAGAGCAAATAGAAAACAATTTTTTCTACAAGAAAATATATATAAAAAAATTATATTTTTCACTGTATAGTCACAAAGTTTTCAGTTATCGTATTTCTTAAAAAAAATTATAAATCGACTAAGTACATATTTTAGAAGTGGAGCAATTACTAATTCTGATAGAGCCTTTAAGGAGCAATTTTTTAAGACAAGTTACAAAAAAAATTTTGGTTATATTATTCCTGGCTTATTGCATACAGTTAATAATAATATTATCATGTGATAGAAGATAAGAGTAAAGTGCGATAAAATATGGTATATAAATGTTCAAAGTAGATTTATTTATTTATAATTTGTGAACAGCACAGCAACAAAATGAATACAATCAGAAGATCTGTGGTAAACATTGTCTTCGTAAACCAGCGATGTTTAAGGTATTCAAATCATTAGTCAATACTTATATAACTTACATAATATTATTTATTCGATAAATATTGTAACCTTACTATAACTCTTGTTGTAAATACTGTATTATTAATGTTTTTATCTGATTTTTCAGTGAGCTATACCATAGTATTAGATATACGAACATTGCAAAAGTAATAATTATTTTTTTGTTATATTTTATTCAATCATTATTTAATTGTTATAAGCAGAGTTATTGTTCTTCTCTCATATTTGATAAAGGATATTTTGAAAAATCTTATGAGACAAAAACAGGGAATACTTAATCAAAAAGTTTCAGATTTACGTCTACAAACACAATCAAAGACTTGGAGGAAGTTAATAATATTAAAAGTTGGAAGGAAATTCCTGGACCTTCAACTCTGCCCATTATAGGACAAATACATCATTTTTTGCCTGGAGGTATGAACAAAATGTTATATTAGAGTCACAAGATGAAGTACTACAAACAAAGGACATCATGTTATGGTGTATGTGAATGAGGTTTAATACTAAAAAATCATAATTATTTTACAGGTTCATTTTACGGGAGATTTGATGTAAAGCTAATGGGTAATTTATACGAAAAATACGGACCAATTGTCAGATTGGAGGGGCATTTTGGTTTACCACCGACGATATTTCTATTTGATGCTGAAACAGCAATGCATGTAAGTAAATTATGATAGAAGATGATAAAAATAAAATTATATCCAATAACATTTTCTATTATCCCAGATATTTCGCAATGAAAATATTCTACCACTCCGCCCTGGGTTCCAGTCTCTCGAATATTTTAGAAAAACATACAATAAAAGAAGTGATGCAGTTGAATCAACTGGCTTGTTGACAGAGTAAGATAGATTATAATCTTTTATCGAATATCGTATTTATTAACGCTCCAATTAACTTGTGACGACAACTTATTAGCTTCTAACATTTCCTGGTACCCACTTAAGAATACATGTTAATACTAATTACATATTATATTACTTTAAGACAAGAAGAGGCTTGGAAAAAATTTCGATCTGCAGTGAATCCTATAATGCTTCAACCAAATACTATTAAATTATATTCAGGTATTCTAGCAGAAGTAGCGGATGATATGATTTCAAGGTAGGTAGGAAAATCATGACGGACGAATAAGTTAGATATTTAAAGTTTGCCTTTGTATTTTTAGTCATCATGACTTGTTTCAGGATGAAAGGTTTAAGAGATACACACAATATGATTAAAAATGAATTGGATATGGAAATGAATCTCTGGTCACTAGAGTCAATCGGTCTTGTAACATTAGGCAGACGTCTAAATTGCTTTGATTCAAATCTACCAGAAGATTCTCCAGTTAAAGAACTTATTAAAGTTGTTCATGATATATTTCATTGTATGGACAAATTGGAATGCCAACCAAGTTTGTGGAAATATTTTTCAACTCCCAATTTCAAAAGAGCTATGAAACATTATGAAGATCAGATCAGGTAAGAAATTTTCTTTAGTAATTTTGGCAAATCACTAAAAGAAGTAACAAAAGTATGTTTAACTTTAACCTTTTGTTCAATTCTGATTTTAGAGAGTTTGTGTATTAAATTCCACAATTCTTTTCTATTTCATTTTATTTAGAGATAACCATAAAAATCTATTCTATGAATAAATATTTGAATTTTATATAGATAGATTTAAGGTGTATTAGATACGTACATCCGTATTTTTAAATTTAAATTGAAATTTGTTTACTATTTATATGATCTAACTTACATATGAATGATATTTAAAAAAAGTACCTAAATCGATTATCAAATAAATATTTTTAAAAATTGTGGTAAGGTGTCTTGAAACCATTTTGTAACAAACGTAATCAGCGTGAAATACGTGTTATAGTGTCACGGTTTCGTGCAATTCCTTATTAAATCTTTTAAATTTCTATAGGCTCAGTGAATATTTTATAGAAATGGCTATCAAAGAACTAAAAGATGAGAAAAAAGATCAGAATAGAGAAAAAGGAATTCTGGAAAAGTTACTAGAAATCGATCAAAAGGTTGCAGTCACAATGACGAGTGATGTGCTGTTCGCTGGAGTTGATACGGTATTCTCTTATTTCAATATTAAAATACGAATTATTAAATTAAAAAAAAAAAGAATTCTTAAAAATGAATAAAAAAGGAAAAGTAATATAATTCTATTGTTATCACTAGCCTTATTTATTATCTGACTAAATAAATAAAAAATGTTATTTTTTAGGAATATACAATTGAAATTGATATGCTTACTTAAAAATTAAACAACTTTGTGGATAAAATTTAAATTTCTTCCTGTGTAATAAGAACTTGTGATTTTTTTGTATGTATTATAAGTATAAATCATACGAAAATCTATAGAGGCTGATAGCGTGATATTATTATTATATTTATTCTACATAGCTCGTTTTGTTAATATATATATTTTTCTACTCTAAGTTAATTGTTTAGTACTTTGTATTACAGCAATCTGTTTTTTAAAAGTAGAAGCTTTTCAAATTTTTTTCACGGTATTTCATATTTACATAGCCCTAAATGCTCTTTTTCTATTTTTTTATTTTATCTGAAATGCATGTTATCTTAATGATCGCTTCTTGTGCACAGAATTATCTAATTATTCAATGAAAAAATAGAATAAAATAACATGAAAATGATAACATTCGCAGACTGCCACTACTATAATAGGATTATTGTATCTTTTGGCAAAAAACCCCGAAAAGCAGAAAAAATTAAGGAATGAGATAATGACAGCGAAAGATAAACGATCCTACCTTAGAGCTTGTATAAAAGAATCCTTGAGATTATTGCCCGTAGTTTCGGGAAACTATAGACAAACCACTAAGGAATACGACGTCCTTGGATACAGAATACCAAAAAAGGTAAGGTTATCACTTACATCAGGTACATTCCTCTCATATGTGATAATTTTTCTGTTAAAATATTGATATAAATATAAAATAGAAAAAACGGTAAAGAAAAAATATAAATTCATATTATTTAAAACATTTTTCGTTCTTTTCAAGGTAATAGCCATAGTTGTTAACCAGTACATGTCTCAAATGGAAAAATATTACCCCAAACCTCACGAGTTCATTCCTGAGAGATGGATTGTGGATAAAAACGATCCGCTGTATTATGGAAATACACACCCGTTCGTATACGCACCTTTTGGTTTCGGAGTACGGAGTTGTATAGGTAAGATTTTTATTAAATAAACTTTACAAAAACATTTTTTGAAATTAAACTATTAAATGATTTTTTACAATTATATAGAATGGTTTAGTAGTCGATAGCTTTCAAAACCCAATTCTACAAAATAACAATTATGCATATGTACATACATACGTGTTTGTTACTAATTAGAAAGAAACTACATTTCATTAATTGTATTTAACAGGGCGTCGTATTGCTGAGTTAGAGATTGAAACTTTCGCGGCTAAGCTCATACAAAACTTCGATGTCCGGTGGTTTGGTCCACCGATAAAAGTTCGTACAACTACCCTTAACTATTTCGTCGGACCCTACAATTTCATTTTTAATGACGTGTAGTGAATTAGTAAAAACATATATTTATTTGTATTACTTGTATAACAATAATAAATGGTATTTTCTAAAAAATACGCTTTAGTTTTCTTTGTAAACTATAACATTAACGTCTGAAGATTACTTGGTGAAACATTGGTATGAATTTCTTTATTCATGTATCTGGCACTTTTTCCTTTGGAACAAATCTTAATTGAGAGAAACTTTTGAATAACATGAAAAGGTGAGACTCTTGTCGTTTTTAATTGTATATTGGAAAATTTATGGAGTTGAATGAGATCTGTCATAGAAAATTCTGTAAATTAGGATTAAAGCGGCACTTTTTAATATATGAACGTAAAAAGAATATTTTCACTTGAATGGTTCTTTTTTCACATTTTGTATTGATTAATAAGTGTATTGAAAATTTAATTAAAAATTATCTTATTTTAATCTGACAAAGTATTAGTTTATTTTAAAACGTAAGATTCAAATGAATTTTATTATATGGATAACCTTTGGAAACATGGGAAATGGTAATGTTACTTAGAAAGTTTATATACTTGTTTTTTATTTCTTAGTCTAAACGTAAGTATCGCCTAAAAAGATTGAAGAAACATAATTATTCGGTTCTAATAGTATAATACAATATTAATATTAACTCAAACGTCAAGCCTTACTCCATCCTTAAAGCGCCTTCGAATTGGACAATAATGATGGATACGTATGAAAAACAATACAAAATCCACGAGGATAATTGTGCCTCGGTCTCTATACCAGATATATGACAGTATTCGCGGATTATAAAGAGCGTTGTGATGTTGGAGCTTACGGTTCCTTTGGGAAACCAACATCCCCAAAGACCATACCATCAAGGTTAATAAATATTACAAGCTCACTCACAAACTTACTCGAAATAGTTTCGTAGCGGATTTATACGCGGTAGGAGTGGGAGCGAGCCGTATAACGGGTAAACCTCTCTACAACCTACTAAAAGACTTGGGCCTATCCAGAACTAACATCAATTTATTCTTGGAACGTACTTCAAAGTCAGCCCTAGTAGGTTCAATTCAAATTTGGTTAGGTAGGAAAAGGAACTTGGACAGTGGAAGTCAGCGTTTGACGCGCGTTAGGTTGGGGCCTCTCAAACCTACACCGGGGGTCGGAAATCCCCGGCACTGTTGAAAAATCTTTCCCCGCAACGCGAAGGACCCCGCACCGGCACATTTAATTCATTGTATGCTAAGAAACTCCGTCTTTCTTTAATAGTCTTATAAAAATTGTTCATTACAAAATGGTCGCTGCACATCTGGCAGTTTATATAAATTTAAAAAAAACTTTTCAGTTGTGGCCTCTCTATTTCTTATACGGCTATTATTTTCAGACTGCGTAAAATGTATACTCGTATTATCAAAGTAACGGTTTCGACAGGATTCTTAAATATATCTATTTAATATTAAAAACTAGAACAGTATATTAAAATGTAAATTTAACATTATTTATAAATGAAGATTATATTTTGTTATTTATTCCGGAGAGCTAAATTTTTAGGTGAATTTCGCGCCAATTGCATTTTGCGCTAGTTGATTGGTTTAGCTACAAATTGCTTTTACGAGCCAAATCTGAAAACTATTTTCTACGGCTTTGTGATATTGAATTTTAAAGGTATAACTTTAAAAAATAGTAAAAATATTAACAAAGAAATATGAAATGTTTTTAATTTTAAATAAAATTATATTTTACGCAGTAAAAAAAATGCTTTATTTAAACTAGGTTAGATTTTATCATGAATGTCAATTATTCCATATTTTACTTTAAACACATTAAAATAATTTTAGTAAATATATAATATGTATTTATAAAAAGATATTATAGTTAAAACATCTCAACTATTGAGATGCTGACTAAAATACATGGATACTATTTATTTTAATAGTAATAAAGGTTTGAATTTATTTTCTCAGCCTCTGCTACATTATTGACTTTAACAAAAATTAATATGTACAAGGAAAAATTGTGAAAACAGCATGTAAAAAAATCTCCCTCTATTTAAAAATCATCATTTAAATAAAATATAAATAAAACAAAATATTTTTCTCTATTTTTTCTCATATATTAGACTTGAATTGATCCTATTAATTTAAAATCTCTTTGTTAGTTTTTTAACTATGTTCACTGGTGGGATGTTTGTTTTAATTAATTATTACTATATAATTATAATAATGTTTTCATATTATTATAAAAAAAATATTAAGAGGTTTTAAAACACAAAATAATTGTTAGCAGTACAAAGTATGGTCTTTTGTCCAAAAACGTGACTCATCGACGATTAAGTTAATAGAGTGAATCCAAGAATGTAGAGGGCAAAGTTCTTAAGTTGTCATAATCAATTAAAGTACACTAATGAGTCAAATTTGTATTTTGTCACGAAATATCATATATGTATTATAAGATGAATCCACTTATCTTTATCAAATTTAAATTACAAATAAAAAATAGAACAAAATTATATATCTTGATTGCATTTTTTTGTATATATACAGATAATACCTTAGATTCCAAGCAGCATTTAATTTAAGTGTCTTTGTAGAGGAAGATCTGGGAAAGACAAGAATGCTAGGAACTGTTGAAAACACAAGTGAGAAAGTTTCTATAACTATCTAGCTTAGAAAATTATCTCACAACGTATGTACAAAACATTAAATGACTATAAAGAGGATGATAAAGATTAGGCTCATAATATTTTCTTAACAAATTCTTGTTTATTAAATATTTGAAAGCATATCATAACGGAGCCTTAGTTTGTTGGTATGTTCAATTTGTTCTAGTTGTTTTATAGGATATGTTTGTTTATTAAGTTATATTTTTATAACAATTACTATCTAGAATTTACTATCAACTTTAAGCTCATGGAATTTATTAATCATTTAAAACCAGTGACTCACAAAATCCGTAAGAATTTCCAGACAAATAAAACTGTCTCTCTAAGTTAAGTTTAACTTCAACTTGATGCCACATAAAATGTTCTTATTTTCCAGGAACATTTTGTTATATAATATCCTTCTGTTCTCAGGTAAAGAGATGCTGTGGAATTAAAAAGAACATTTTGTTATGTATTTTCTTAACATTTTAGAACAAATTTTAGAGTTTACGCTGGTGTGCAGTCTGAATATCTTGTTGTGGCACTTTAAATTTACGATAAATAATTAAAGATTTGTTAAAACATTAATTCAAAATTTAAAAATATTAGGGAAATATCAAAATGGCATTCTTGTATTATAATCGACAGTACGGAACATCAAATATGAGTGAATACATTAACTTGACTCTTTTCATACTGAAGTGTAGTGTATGGTAAGTTCATATGACATTAAAATAATTGTTTATGAATTATCATACAGTAAATATAAGAAATATATTTATCACATAAAAATTTATTTAGTTTTTCTTATAAAAATTATCTTTAAGAAAACAATGAAAAATGAAACCACTATTTTATTGTTGTCTTTTTATAGTTTATTTAATTTTTTGATCATAAACGGTCCGTTTAGCTTTGACATTTTTTTATTAAAATTGATGAATTGTTCTAGAAATGAATTAAATACTATATCAAGAAAAAGCACGTTAATTCCTGACCTTAACGTCGACTGTAAAACTATTCAAAGAAACTAGGTTAGCCCTGACACGGTCTTCTTAGTGTAATAATAAAAAATAGAAGTAATGTTTATTCTTCAATATAAACATTATTGGTTTTAGTAACTAACTTACACTTTTATTTATATCCTAGGAAAATAAACTCTAATTTCATAGGTAGGTACTTTAAGTATTCATAAAATAAAATAGTAATCTTAATCGAATATATTGAAAAACAAGTGACGACAACAATATTTTTAATACAAAATATTTATAACATATTGTCGGACGCTGTCATACAAAAAAAAATTGAGACAAATAAGGCGTCCATTTTGTCCAACGAACTTATTAAATTGTCGATATGTAAATGTTTAAGTTTAATGAGAGGAATGAATTTTTAGAACTTTGTTAATTTAAAACATTCTTACAACATTTTTGACTTCAAAGTGAATGAAAAAGTATACCAACCATTTTTAAATAGAATTTGAGAATGAGTATTATTATTTGTGAAAGTAAGAAGCTCCAATAGTATAATCACAACAAAAAGACAGATTTTTACTTTTTATATTGTTTGATTATTTTATAAAGGATTATTTTAAAGCATTGTAACTTAATTATTGAGTCAACTTTAACTAAACGATGTCGTAATGGTTCGAAGCTTATCCCGATTTGGATACAAGAGCTGTGTAAACGAACTTCAAGCGAGCTCTTAAATTAAAACGCCGACCGTCGGTTACGTGACTGAACTCACGTAATCCTCTTCAGTGTTTCAAATGGAGATAGTATATTTTTATAGTAAATTTTTGTCACTATTCAGTTTGTAATCTTTATTTTAATTTTTAAATCAAACTAATATTTTCGGGATATACTACGCGTGCTTTATTTTTGTAAATAAACTACATACTACCGACGTTTCGGCTACTTTTCAGTAACCATGATCACGGGCAGTCAAGATGTCCGAATGTAATATAATCGAAAAATATTAGTTTCATTTAAATAAATAAAAGTCTTAGATTTCTCTATTCTAATTAATCTTGAATCCTCAGTCCCCATTTAAATATTGACATATATCTTAACATTTATGATTTAACTTCGGGCGCATCGTATTGGCTTCTAAAATAGGGAAAAGGGGCTCGGAGATCACCCAATGGCAAGGACGACAAAGGAACTAACACCAGGAAAAAGATTTTTCAACCTTTTACTGGAAAGGTTATCCAAATCAGAAAAGTGGGACCTAATCTAATCCCATGGGCGGTCAAGAAGAAAAACAGTGAGATTGCGTTCCCGAGGAGGTGTTCTCAATAAGGTGTACGAACCAACCTGCAATAACTAAGGAATTAACACTCACCATAGCAGCACCGAATCCGCTGTGCAGCAGACTGTAGAGGCACGGA